TCAGGACGAGGACGGCGTTGACGGGGGAGACGACTGATGGTTCCAGGGGGCCGGGGAAAAGTTCGAGGAAAAATCTTTCTCAGAAATGTGTGTTTTGGTTTGTATAATTAGTTTGTGTAACTATTAATTTCTGGTACTATTTGTAGTATTATTTGTCTGTTTAAGATTCTTAATAATTTATAGATATTTTACGACTATTCTTACCTAATTACTAAAGTCCTTTTTTATTAATTAGATATGAATAAATTGTATGTTTTATTGATTATGACGTAAAATGTATTTATTATTAGAATACATTTTTGGAGGGATATTTCTTGTGCTGTATTTGTTGTACTTTTATTAACGTTGTCTAGTGTAATTTATCATTGAGAGTTTAAGTTACAGTGAATAACAAAACACGTCAATATACTGGAGAAGACGCAAAAGTGTCTAAAGTACTTTTCATTTGCCAGGATGATGTTTCATATGATCAATGAAGGTACGTGGCAGTCGTCCTTGGCTACCCTACCTTTAGTCAGGAACCTTAGAAAGAAAAATGGCCATATTATCGTAAAGTTACAGGTGATTTGAGGGAGCAAAGACAAAATTGAACAGTGTAAGAAATCTGACACAGAAGATAAAGAAATAGATAAAAAAGACACAAAGGCTCTTCATGTTGTTCAGTTGTAGGTTTCAGAAGTACAAATTGTCATCCTAAAAAACGACAGAACTGTCTCAGAACCTTTTGGGATATTATTCCAAAGACAGTTACCGGAAAGAAAGGAAGGAAGGTGTGACCAAATATTGCTACTTAATGTGAAGATCAATACGACTACGGTATATTAAAACTCCACCTGACCTGTGGATGAAATCACAAAGATACTTGTCTGACGTTGTTTCAAAATGTATCTGAAGACGGCCGGGAAAACAACGGCCATATTCTTTGGACTGGGCCGACTTTGTGGATTTGTCGGCTCTAACATCGCAATGTACATGTACGATTAACTGTACTGAAGAACTTACAAACGTCTGATATCATTCTGAAAGCAACACGCTAACACCCCTTGGATTCACAACAGTTCAGATGCCTAAAAGGGCGCTCCACAGTTCATTATCTTGTTGACCTGCTAAACTTCTTCTTAGAAGAATCCGAGAAACCACAAAACGTGTGTGCAATGGTCATGACAGAATGGACCACACAGTAGCTCTATAGAAACTGATTGATTTAGGTACACGGGATAGCATTATTCCATGGATCAGTAACTTCCCAACAAATCGATGTCAGCGAATCCGCTACAAGGGTCCCACAGGGGACACTATTTCTTCGACGACGCCATGAGACAAGCATCCGTTGGGCACTGGTAATATGTGGATGATTTATCATTGGTGGAATCACAAAGATACAACAAGGCAGATGAAGCTAAACAAATTATTTCAAGACCGGTTGCTTCACAATCACATGATGTTAACCCGGATAAATAAAAACAATGGTAATCAGCTTCATGAAATATCCACCCCGCCTCCTGTCATTACTATTAAACAAACGCAGCTAGAGGTGGTTAGTGCCACATGTCTGCTCGGGATTAGGATTTTAAAGATATGAAATGAGAAATGCACGTAGACAAGACCATCAGCAAGAAAAATAGACAAATGGCCATGTAAATTTAAACATTGCAACGTATCCAATGAGGATTAACTTCAAATGTTAATATATGCCTACGTTAGATCAGCACTGTGTGCCAGTGTGTCACTCTGAACTTGCTGCGACAAAAACTACGAGGCTGGAAAGAGTTCAGAGGAAAGTTGGCAGTATACAAAAGTGTATGCAGATTTTAATCATGGCCCCAAACTGCGGACGTGATCGGAGGCAGTTTTATCCCGCCAAAACATATACCAGTACCTGATTGGTCAAAATACATCAAATTGGAAACGTTAGCGCATTCAATTTCCTCGGTTCTTCCACCCTTTCAATTGTATTCCATCTTGATATGATAATACCTGGCTAAGAAATATCAAGATTAATAAAAGTACGTATAAGTTCTTTTTAAAGTCATAATTTAATACATATATCACATAATGTGTCGGTTGTCATTGCTGTACCTCTTCGACACACCAATCCACGGGAGACAAGTCTATACTTCTATAATATACAGCACAATTGACCCAACGACAAGATTTTGTTGATATGAAATTGTTCATAAATGTAATAATGATAACATATAACCCCGCGCAGCTGCAGCTTTAAAGGCTGCGGCGGCTGAAGCATTCCTGTCCGCGCCCAAACAGTTACAAATCCTGTAAGTCTGGAACGTCAACAAACGCCCCCAAGACAGTAAAGACCAACACTCGGACTGTCCTCACACTCACGAACGATGGACAAAGACACCCGGCCTTTCACACTTAGGTAAAGTGTTTTAAAAATATATGAGTACAGATATTGTCTTGCAGCATATCCCATCAGCTGCAATTCCGTACCTTTGTATTATCAAAAGATATGAGATATGTAAAGACAGTATCCTACAGAATATCCCATCAGCTGCAATTCCGAGACAGCATTTTGGAGTAACCAACTGGATAATCCAAAGGAAGAAACATCATGGTGGACAGAATCAACTGTAAACCTCCTGCTCTTATTTAAGGAAACTACGAACACCAGCATATGGACTAGAATATAGATATTACCAAAAAAAACTAAAAACAACCAAAGGAGTAGATTAAAAAGAGAGCAATGGAAAAGAATTGCCCTTAAGAAAGACTGCAAGTGTTGTAGGAAACGGTCAATGGTCATAAATGGTGGGAAGGTAGAGTAGGTGAGGGGAGGGGGGCGAACTCAAGCTGGACAAACACAAACGTTGTAACCAAAAGTAGACTCTCACAAAAACATTGTTTTCATAAGCTGTAGTTTTAAACAGAAACCTTGAACTAACCTATTGACATAAACCTAGATCAGGCAGAATCCAAAAACACGTATTTTTAAACCCAAAATACAAAGTCAAGATAGGACCTTTGGAACCTCCGCATCCGACCAGGTCGCAGCTAAACTGGAAGGGGAGTCTTCAAAGACGACCAAAGTGCTCGTAGATATAAATCCGCATAATTGTCTAGCCAGCTTTTAAATTGGAAATGAAAAAGAAACTTAGCGAGTTAGTCTTCAAATACTGAACAAATAAAAGCTACTAAAAAGTAGAATATGTGTGCTTAGAATCCTATATCAAATAGTTGGCCGTCATATTTAGGTACTAGTTTCTGTAGGCGCACGGAAACCGTCTGCCATTGGCAGTGATGCAGTAAAACAGCCGGGCCCAGCTGCATGGCCAGGTGTGAGCATATCTGATTACAACAAAGCGCGCCAAAAACGCGGGTATTTCCTATTGGCTCAGTCGATAACGTATTATACCTGATTTTACAAGCCCCCAATTTAAAACAGTAACCATGGATCAACCCATTAAAATGAAAACTAGAGTATCACTAAGCAGAATACAATTGCACTTTTTTTAATCCTAAATCACCAAGCATAGATGAAAGGATGATATAATTTCTATATATAATCGTTGGGCACTATCTTCTGTAAGCGCATGAAAATACTCTGCCACTGACTGTGACGCAACAGAATAGCTGCGTGTCCACAGTTTGGACCGCATTCTGTAAATTTGTATTATTCCGCCGCGCAGAATGAAACTTGGGGGTCGGCTCATTTTTGTGTCATTCGTACTTGATACTGCAGCCACAGACCATGCATGCTTGTGATGTGTCGGTGCGTCCTTGTGCTTACGTATACCTGGCTGAGATGACATAGTTGTCTCACCAGGTAGAGCGGTTTATCTATCGTTTTGTGCACCCCTCTTTAGGGGCTACTATTTTTTGTTTGATTTGGTCTACTATCAAAAACAGACCTATAGTGTGACCCATACTTACCTGGCGGAGGTGGCACGGTGATCGTGCCGTCCACCTCTTCCAAAGTAGAGTGGTTTATCTATCGTTTTGTGCGCCCCTCTTTAGGGGCTACTATTTTTTGTTTGGTTTGGTCTACCATCAAAAGCAGACCATGCATGCTTGTGATGTGTCGGTGGGTCCTTGTGCTTACCTGGCTAAGATGACAGTTGTCTCACCAGGTAGAGCGGTTTATCTATCGTTTTGTGCGCCCCTTTTTAGGGGCTACTATTTTTTTATTCGTCCGGTCTACCATTAAATAGACCATCAACCATAGACCATGCATGCTTGTGATGTGTCGGTGGGTTCCTTGTTTTTACGTATACCTGGCTGAGATGACATAGTTGTCTCAGCAGGAAGAGCGGCTTATCTATCGTTTTCTGCACACCTCTTTTGGGGCTATTTTTTGTTTGGTTTGGTCTACCATCAAAAACAGACCTATAGTGTGACCCATACTTACCTGGCGGAGGTGGCACGGTGATCGTCCTGTCCACCTCTTCCAAAGTAGTGGTTTATCTATCGTTTTGTGCGCCCCTCTTTAGGGGCTACTATTTTTGGTTTGGTTTGGTCTACCATCAAAAGCAGACCATGCATGCTTGTGATGTGTCGGTGGGTCCTTGTGCTTACCTGGCTAAGATGACATAGTTGTCTCACCAGATAGAGCGGTTTATTTATCGTTTTGTGCGGCCCTTTTTAGGGGCTACTGTTTTTTGTTTGGTCCGGTCTACCATAAAACAGGCCATAGACCACCAAACAGAACATGGTGGCAGCGGTAACCTCCATAGATGTAAAGGATTCACAGTGGACAGTGCACTTAGCGTTTTCTTCATTGTGGTGACTTGTCCAGGTCGTGTCTCCAATACAAAGTTTCGCCGCCGGAGTTCGTGTACCGGCTGTGCCTCCCAGGCGGGTGGAGCACATGTCAACTGCCCCAGTCAGCGCGCGCTAAGTGACACATCTCCCCTCACATATGGAAGGGATAATCGTTTCCCCAGTCATGGCGGGAATCAGGCTAAGAGAAGGCAGTCTGGGGCAAAAGCTGGGTTACTTTACACTTTTACAGAATAGTTTGTTGTAAAGGGGATATCGATATAACACAAGATCATTTATCAATGTTTTCGTGGTAAGATGTTGAAGATGTTGTAGGCAATCTAAAGTATTTATTTAGAGTCAAGAATAAAACCTGACCCGGTGAAAGGTCAGGTCACACACAAGAAGCACGTTTTCTTCACAACATGGCTCTCCGGAGGTCAGAGAGAGTTCGCAGTATTGTAAGAAAGGATGACTTCGAGTACGGCTACAACTGGCAGATCCCCACTTCTCGTGTTGAGAGTAAAAAGCCTCGGGAAAATTCTGATCAGTGGCCTATTCAAGAGGTCGTCGCCTGGATCGATGAAAACCACGTTGAGGTCAAGTGGGCCCGAACAACTAGGTCATGGCCCAATAGCATTGTAGACCTGAGATACAATGCAGCATTGGCGCAGCAATTGCAGAGAAACTGCTGTAATCCCAGCATGAAAGGTAATGTCTTCATCTTTGACTGTACATGTGCTGATGAACTAGCCTGAGAAACCTTAGATCTTCAGTATTAAAATACACATGATTTTATCAGGCAACACAGTGCTAGCTATATGACTACCATATATTTTTGTATGGTCTTACCTCAGGGAAATGCAAGGTCACAAAGAATGTACCTTTGTCACACACATAGAAGTTTACAGTCTAGAATAATGACAGGAAACATTGTGTGTCAACTATGGCAAACCAGCTTAACTGTTGCCATTTTACTTCTTCACATTCATCTTGTGGTTGCTACAAATACTCAAATATATTTACACTTAATTTACAGCATTCAAGGACAGACAGACATTCTTGCACCCAGACAAGGAGCTGCGTGTCCTTCGGCAGCAAATATTTGACAAGTAAGTAAACATGTTTTAAAAAACAATAAATGCATCTTTTCTGAACTGTCTCTGTATATAGATACTTTGAATGCTTCTTCATTAAAAGACATATTGTCAAACCCACAGTTTGGGCTACCGATACACGCCATCAAGGAACCAGGGCCATGAAAGAAGGATAACCGTAGTGGTCCCGCTGTCCAAGCAAAACTTCAGGGGCTTTTTCCTCCAGAAGCTGTCACTTCCTGTGTGTCAGGACCTGCTGGAGGAAAAGCCCCTGGAAAATTGCTTTGGAGGGCGGGCCATTCATGTGCCTGCAAGCGAAATGGCAGAGCTGGACAGAATCCTCGGTGAGCACTGGGACGTCAGAACTTTCCCCACCAACACCGTCTGCCGGGTTGTGAGGGAGGAGGGGATCCACCTGTCGTGGGGATATAAGAGAAGGGAGGCATTCTCCCATGCAGACTGCCCAAGGTATTGGTCCTTCTTAAAACTTCTAATGTCATATTTTTGCTGTTTGCAGGTTCAAATATCTATAACAATTAAACATATGTACATCCATTCATTATGACAAGTAACATTTCTCATGCTATTACAATAAGAATTTGTAGCTAAATTAACACATGAAGGATTTACACAGCAATCCCCAAAGTCCTCTTTGCATTATGTTACATATATACATACATACAACAGATATCTATCAAATTTAATGGGAAAAGATAGAAGTCTCACATTTCTTGCCATTCTATTTACAAGCTGTATTTACAGATGCAACTGGGCCCAAGAGTCTGGCAGTCCACGGCCTGAGATCTGCTCTCCAACAGTAAACTTCCTGATTGGAGAGCCAGAACTTCATTTCACCTTCACAAGGAGAAGGGGACACTGGAAGGCAGGGATGATATAAGCCAGCAAAGTATGTTGTCGCGAGTCACTTATTACATGTCAGGTCTTACTGCTAATGCTACAGCCAAACAGGAATACACTTTAAGTAATTTAAGTTGAATGTTCGTGCAGGAGAAGAAGCCTTTAAGGCTTATACAAGCCGTTCTCCTTTGAATATAACAAATAATAATCACAATTCCACTATACAGTAATTGAACTGACAACAAGCAAGGCAAATGACAAGCAAATGGGATAAATAAATTACAGATAAGTAACAGCTTGATGATTAAAGCAAAAAAAAATGTAGCAACACAAATCTAATAGAGATGCCACATAAGGAATTATCAAAGCAAAGAAATATAGCAGCTGAAACTGAAATTTTGCCTCATTAATCATCATCTTCCTCCCCGTTGTAGGCGATCCTGTCGTCGTCATCATCTTCTTCATCGTCTGAAGACGGAAGTGGGTCTGGATTAGGGGCCTGCCCGTTTCGTCTTACCCAGGATCTCTTTTGGCGCTGGCCGATGCCATGGATTGACGCAAAAGTCTCCCTATTTTCCATCTGCATCAGCTGAAAGAAATCAGTGACAAAAGCAGATTAGAAAGAAATACTATAATAATGTTTACCTAGTCTTTTGAACACAACACTTGGTCTACATGTAGTCAAGCCCCCTTGATAAACATGAACCCAATGGTTGTCTCTAAGAGAATTACATATTAGTTTTCAGGTGTGCAAGTAGCTGAGAAGTTCAGATGCTGCAAGCCAGGCAGCTGTATGTGAGTGGTAGAAAAGCTTTGTTTCATGTTATGTAGTTCAGGCACCGTTTTCTAGCAGCAATATCATGAAGTCTTAAGTTTAGATTATATTCACACCCAACAATGTCTTCAATCATACAGTATTTAGGTACAGAGTTACAAGGTTTTCTTAGGTGGACCAATGTGGACTTAAATAGGGGGAGAGGATGGGTGTACAATTGATGTGATTATAGAGCCAAGCTAGTGACACACTTGATTCTTGTAAAGATGTCATTGAATATGAAATTACCTGCTCGGCCCATTTGCTTGGGTATCGGCCTCCCCCCCTCTGAGTGGCATGGTGGAAACGCCTGGTCTGGACGTGATTTTTTTTTTCGATCATCTCACAGTTGATGCTGTGCATGAAGGGGTGCTCTGTCAGCTTTGTCCCAAGGTGGCAGCCAAGGTCTGAAAGATGTAAAAAACAGTGTTTGACGACTTATTTTGTAACTTAGTGCATGACAGAAGATGAATGTAACAGTCCGCGTAGTCTGCATCTGTTTTGCAGTACAGTATTGTTTGTCTATATCACATATGACTAACATGGTACTAGTATTTGCCAGGGTACAGTACCCGAACTAATCCTGTTATCACAACCCTTGTATACTCTCCATATATTGCATATGCAGCCCTAAGGTTCTTGCAGATATTTTTCTTAGTGATCGCCCACAGCTGTCAGTTTGAAAAGTCAGTACTTACAGTGAATGTATGGGGTAACATCCTCCTGGTATGTTATGTCCCTGAAGTCCTCACACCATTGCTTGGCTACCCGCCCAACATGGTGGCGTTGTTGGGGGTCTTTCACCATTTCCATCACCACGGTGAAGTCCTGTAAGCAAAAATGATAAAAATGAACACTCGCAATGGTTTATCTGACAAACAACAACTGAAACCAAATATTATTATATATTTCTAAAAGTCAAACTCACCTTCCAAAGCTTTTGCAGATCCTCAACTCTGATCTCCACTCCGTCCTCCCCTCTTCCAGGCTGTGCAACCTACACAGGTAGGAAATATGGCCTGAGTTGTATACTCTTATGCAAATGAATAAACTGAACGTGACAAATGTAGAAAACAATTATAGAATTGTGACCATCTAACATAATTCTTATACTTAGTTAAATACATTTACAAATGAAGAAAGGAAACGATTTATCTCACCGTTTCCGCTCCCCCAAGGAGCCGCTTCAGGAGGGCCTTTCGCTCTGAAATCAACCTTGGCACCCGCTCCACTCCCTTAGCCTGCAGCATTGCCGTCAGTTGTCGACCCTGCAGACTATCGATTTGGACTTCTCCAGAACTGCCAATGTTGTTGATGATGGCTGGAAGCTTATCAGGAAGGCGCTGGATGGCGGTCTCAAGTTCTTTACCTATGTACGAAAAAATGTGTTGTAAACATACTTATCTCTTGTCAGTCCCATACAGAATAATGTTTACATTATGTTTACTGTATTACATTTAATTTGTTTTAACAAAATCTATCTTCCAGAAAATATGATGACTATATTAAGTGTGACTAATATTTTTAATTGATTAACGAAAAGTCCATAACTACTTTTTGCATGTCTTATTTTTAGATACCAAGAAATAGCATACATGTACCTGTCAACGACTTCCACTTGAATGTACTGGGCCCTTCCCTGGTTGCCTCCTTTCTGATGTAGAAGGTGCGGATACCTACTTCCTTCATGGCTTTTTCAAGAGCATCTGTATGATTCTGGTCGATGGACCATCCGATGAGCTATTGAGCAAAAACATTGTACTGATATGACATGGGCTCCATATAGTAGGAAAAGGAAATATGTGTGTACTAAGGAATTCATGATAGTAACGTTAACACAGTGTTGTGTATTGTTACAGGTGCTGTCCTTACCTTACGTACACATGAATTTACCATTAACACATGTTACATACTTTTTGTATGATTAAACTTACCTGAGAAAGCAGTTTTCCACCAATCCTTAGATACCTGAAAAATAAAGCTAATGTTACAGGAAAGTTTGTACCTTGTGCAATTGTGTACCATACATTGTGGTGTATGTAATGAAAAGATGCAATGTTGTTTCTGAAGCTTCATTTTATATACTGAGGTATACTGAGGTACCTACATATGTAATGTATCAATCATGGCGTTCCCCCAGTCAAGGCTCATCACTGGGAGGTGTTGGTGGCCTCTGCTGTCTCTGCTCCCAGTGTGGATATGGGCCGATTCCTGTGATCGGAGGGCGTAGTCTAAAAAAGAAAGAACATGGTCAACTGATAACCTAACTATTTACCTTTTGTTCATGCTGTAGCTTCTCTCAAAGAAGGATTGCCTTGAATAGAAAGTTCCTCAAAGAAAGAGGGGAGTTTTTCTAGTCAACTATTGTAACACTTGCAATTTTATGCCAGGAAATCAAGGTGGCAAATTAGTATAGCAGTATGAAAGTGCACTGTCTTACCTTGTCTGAACTGGGCTATCTCCGCCTTTCTGCAGTAGCAGGAGATGCAGAAATAGTCACCTGTGAAAGAAATATTCAAATTGTTTACAATGAAAAAAGGCTAGAAGGTAACAGGTCAGGTTTGGTCGATTGTATACATCTTATAAGTAACAATCACCAAAAAATAGTTCCTTTTATAAGTTATTCATTTTCTTTAGAATGGAAGATTGGCTCATGCAGAACAGTCCTATCTATTTCTAGAAAATTAAGTAGCTGGTCTTACCAGTCGGGCCAACCAATCCCAGCATAATGGCTAGGGCCTTCCAGTCAGATAGCACATACCTGTGTAGATGGTATAGTAGGTTGTAAAGGACATGAAAGACTTCCAATAGGGATTAATATGGAACCAAAATGTAAAGTAGCTTATGCGTCCTAAAAAAGTTATCCTTACCATTTGATCCTGACATGTTTCCTCCCCTCTTCACCGAGGTCTATGTCGATCCCGTTGAGATGCAACTCCTCAATCTCCCTGAAGACACGGGAGCCGCATCTCACTTGCTCTTCATAGTCTTCTTTGCCTGAAAAGGGAAATAAAATTATAATAATGCTCTCGTGACAGCCCCTACCCCGCATAATTTAGTGATTGACTTGCTGTTGCTTCTCACAAAATAAGGTTAGACTTAAAAACTTCCCATCCATAAATGACATTCACTTTTACTGAGTGTAAATATTCATCCCTTAATGACATAAATGGATGAATGCACTTTAAAAATCTATTGCTGCGGGATAATATATCTTATGTAAATTTAACATATGACCATTAACATTTGTCACATTGGGTTACGCATTTTGATCACTGAATAATAGAATAATAAAGAATTTGTATACACATACCACTGTACAGAAAGACACAGTACTCTTCCCGTACAGTCCGCTTCGGGCGAGCCAGGGCCTGTTCAGGGTTCCGTACGGGAGTAATGCAGGCCATGACAGCGCCAATGATGTTGTTCTTGGCCTGTGGCCTGCCGTCCAGCCCGTACCGGAACCCCACCTCTGGCTCGTCCCCTTCCAGGAGGTCCCGGTTCTTGGGCATCATCAGGTGTTTTTCAATGATGCCCTTGACACTCCTGGATGCCGCATTCCCGTCTCTTGCCTGTTGCAACAGTAAAAAAAAAAGAAACATCATAAAACTCTTAACAGTTTTCTTACTGGCTAGTAATCTACAGTAGACTTGTTGACAGTGATGAATGCATAATGCACTTTCCATGTACATGTGTAATTTCATTTTCAGATTTACCAAATACACAGCAGACTTCCTGTACTGTTGTGAACATGCCTCAACCTTACTAAACAACTCTCTTTGTGATACTATAGCTGGATCACAAAATGAATGACTGTTAAGATGGATGGAAAATGAAAAAAACATACATTCTCTTCCATCTGGTACGGGATGAAGTTGTTTTGCTCCCGCTTTTCTTCCTGAAGCCAGCTCAATGGTGGGATCACCTTCATGAACTTCATGTGGAGTTCGTGAAACCAGACATCAGAGAGAGAGGCCTGGTCCTTGAAGTACACGCACCACCGGACCAGGTCTCTCGTCTCGTCAGTCTGGTGGCGGTACCCACGGCCGGTCACGGCTTGATCAGCTGGTGGAGGTTGGCCGTTACGGTCCAGAGGACCTTTGGGCCACTCAACTCCTACTGTGAAACCATCGTCTGTCCTGAATGTGACCTAGAAAGAACAAAGACAGATTGTCGTATTTTCATGTACGCAATTATACAAAACATAGTTGTGTCTATTATACGGAACAAACCATGGACACTTAACAGCATGTATAAAAATGATGCAGTTGCTACATCATTTCTGCAACTTAGTATTAGTGACAATAAAGAGATAACAAATGAAGTCCAAGAGGGAGTATGATGTAGACTTACATTGGCTTTGACTACGTTCTTTGGTAGTTTTTCAAAGCACGGCTCCAGGAATTTTGTCCGCAGGGCTGCCTTCTTTTCGTTCAAGGAGCTGGGTCTTAAGGAGGACCAAGGAAGCCTGGTGTTGTAAAGCTGACTCCTGGCCCTCTTTCTGGCAGGCTCTTCATTGATGTTGTTGTTGTTGAGCCTGCCCTCTAGTTCCAGGATACGCTGATCTCTTTCTTGGAGCTGGAGCCGGAGCCTCCCAGATTCTGCCCGCGACTCCTCTAACTCCCTTTCCTTCTGTCTCAAGAGATCTGACAGAAGCTCACTCCTCTGAAGGAGGTAAAAAATGTCGGGGTGCACGGCAGCCATGGCCTGTCTCTGGCAGAGCCCGCCTCGGAATGAACGTTTCTGGCTTTGCGCGCAAATTTGTGCGCCTAAATTCCCCAATTCGTCACACTCACGTCTAGTCTGGGTCAGGTGGTCCCCAGCCACTTCAAATAACATTTAAAAACCAAGGAGTACAGACTTCTAAGAAAGTGAATTTGGTCAAAACTACCTGCCCCCCACCCCCTTACAATCTACCGTCGATATTTTATTCAGAACAAAAGTCGTAACAAAGAAAAGACCATAGAGACACTTTTTTCTGACAGGCAGAATCATCTACCATTTTATTATCTGACTAGTAAGCGTAAAAACCAGTAAAGTACACTTGCAATACGCTATTTTAAGAAGTAAAAACTGACTTATACCTGAACATGCCCGCCATGTTGAAATCGCGCGGAATTGTGGGAGAAAGCTTGTGTAGTCACCAAGCAACGATTTCTTTGAATTTTATCGAGGTTAAATTGCAAGTGACAGGGAGGGCGTGGTCTCAACTGGGCCTCCTGGCAGCGTGACCCGTGGCTGCTCTGGGATGCCAGGCCTGCCAGAGGGAAGCTCCGGGAGGATTTACCCTAATTGGAATCACACCCGCCCTGTCACTAGCGAACTCCAGCAGCCTGGCGGCCTCAAAGTTTGTATTGTCTTCGTACAGCTTTTCTTTTTACCATCACAAGAGACATCCTTCAGTTATTCTTCTCCCAACTTAACCCTTCTGTCCCTCTTGATTAACTTTCCACGCCTTTAGGTCTGCTTTAATATTGGCTACGTCAATTAGACCGTGCAGTATCTTTGGATATCTCTTGTGATGTGATCGTTCTGTAATCGTCGTCACATGGTTGGGTGGAGTTGGGTTCTTCTCGGTATTACTCGGATTCAGTGGTGATTCAATAGAGGTCTGGGTCCTGAAAGGAGTGATAATTCTCAACAGCTTGAAACAATTGCCTTTCCTGTGTGTGCCTTCAGCAATTGGCCTTTGCAAGAGGAGTTTCATCTTGAATGTTAGAAGATAGTTGACTTATATTTCGGTGTATTTGCACCATTGTTAGTAGGCATATTTTTGTTGTTTTTAAAGCATCTCAAAGTCATTAGATGCTTGCATTTCCGCAGTTTTATTAGAAGTGTACGCATAGACACGCTTGTGCCACATGAAAGCTTAGGACCCAGGAACGCTAAAGCCACAATGAACACAGGTTGTAGAAATATATCATAGTTTAGTGCTTTTGAGGAAGGCTATTGTATGCTGTCTGAGTGGTTGTGCAGTAGTGGTGTTGGCCATGGATGGAGGGGAGGGAGGGGATGCATCTATTGATAGTGTTTAGGCCGGGAATTTCCACATGGCCCAGCCGATGTACGGACTGGGGGCTGTCATCAGCCACATACATTGAACCACCAGGGTTAGATGGTGTTGCGAATTGTTCAAGCGTACACTCTAACACAATTGCGTTGCACATGTACACTTCTGGCACAAACAAGGATATTGTGTTTGTTGCAATGCGGAAACTGTACCCAAGGCTTGCGTACGAATTCCTTGAAGATAATAAACGAAGTGTTACTGCCAGCTTCAGCCCTGGGCTCACTAAAGGCGCAGCAATGGAACTTGATTCTAGAAGTTGGCTCAACGTATACTTCTACCTCAGAATCACCTTTGCTAAACTTGCTATCCTCCATATATTTATAGAAACATACCTTTAAATGTTGCCATTGTTTTCGACAAGGTGCTAACTTTTTAATTACATTCCATCCAGTATTCCTCCTGTGTAGATTAAACTTGTGAACATGAGGAAAATGCACATATTGTTCCACATATCGGAGACAGGATGTTTAACATACAGTTTCCCTGATGTTTCCATTATAACATGCCTGTATCCCATTTAGAATCAAATACTACTACTAACTTATTGGTGTTTGGCTCCCAAATCAGACCCTCTTTGATTGTTACCTTATCGAAAGCTAACATACCTATATTTCCACGTAGTTTGTCTTTGTATCAAAAATATCATTGATTCTCTGTAAACAAGAAGTCAGACTCTACACTGATATGCTCATTTATATGACACATAGACGGATTTTAAAGTAGCAAAGGGTTTATTTGTAGAGTTGTCCCAGGAATACAGGCGCTGCATCATTACATGCTACATGATGTGTATATAGATGCTCATTTAGGTCAGAAATGAAAGACAAAGTAGTATCACAAGCATTACATCTACACGTGGCATTGAACTTCTGAGGCTTTGTTATTAAGACCTTTGTACAGATTAGTAAATATAAATCTTAAATCACGGTCATCATGTTCGGGAGATATTTCTATAGTTTTTATTTTCACTGTACGTTTTCATAATTCTTCCGTAATGTAGTTATCTCCTGTTTTGCCTCTCTCAGCTGTTTGTCTAATGACTACAACCTTCTGTCGTGCTGCACAATGTTTGGGAATCGCCCAATGTACATGTATGTTTTCGTGCTTTCTTCTGGGGTAACTTTCATTTGCACACTTTTTCGATTGATAGCACATATGGGAGCCACTATGCAAGTGTTTCTGACACTTCAACCACGAAGCTGTCAAACTCCAGGGCCAAAGCCCATTTTACATCGGGATCTGAATAAACCTCATCAATGTTGATTTGAGGGGCATCTATAGACCGCATATATGCGGTCAAATCATCTCAAGACAGCCCTCACAGTTGACTCTGCAGAACACCAGGACTTCCCCATACTGCACGCCATTCTGTGCCGAGAACTCCCGGAGTAGATGTTCTGTCCTGCCAAGCTTACCCTGTAAAAAACTTTCCTTCACCCACTCTTTCCCGAATCGCCCTTTGAATCTCAGCACCCAGTTTGTCCAGCGGCCCAATCCTACTCAAACCATGTGAAAGCCCAGTCATGTTGCACCTGGTAGGGATTATAAAAAAAATTGTTAGAAGAATGAGTGATGGTCGTACAATTATTTAACTGAGGGAAATGTCCTATAAGTATCGCTGTTAGACATGACGAAGGTCAAGCAAGCTTCAAACTAGTATATACGGCTAACCTGTGTAAGCCTCGCGTTTCTTCGGACTGCACTGAGCTTCAGATTTTCCCCTCTGGGCACGCACCCGGTCGTCCTTCTTAGACTTGTAGTATCTCCTCGCAGCTTCTAGAAATATAAAAAAAAATGAAACAATATGATTTTTTTGGTGAAAACATAGGCGTTTAATTAATAAAGAAATTAACATGGAAGCACGCAATCTGTGTTCCATCTCAGCAGGTAAGAGTACATGTCCGGTATGTGTCTCATCACGACATCCTTAAAACCGGTAAAGGCGGTCAGGTACTTGACGAGAACTCTGGCTACAAGGCTGATGTAGTATGTGTAAGTCTGTTTCCCTCCTTTGCAACCCTAATCTATTATACCTAGTAATTTATACTACAATGTCTACTCCATCCCTTTCTAAATCTATCTTGTTCAGTTTTTTTCTTCTTCCTATGTTCCACGAGAAGGCCCTGCTACGGGTAGGTGGTGAATTAAGACTTGTCCTCGAACAGGTCTTCTACCTGGATGTCTTTAGTAAGGCGGCTGTTCTGATTCGTCAACTGCCAGTCCACGTCCGGTCAGGTCTGCCCTGTTGACATTTGTATCTTTAAGTACGTGTCGTTCGGTAAACACCATGGCCGGTGCGAAGTTACTAGTAAACAATAGGAACAAAATGCGTCAGAAATTTGCGAAAATTTGTGAAAGCTGGCTAAATCTGCTAAATTTCGAGACAGAAGTACAGTCGGAAGTTTAGCGTCACATGAGGTACAGAATGTAAGGCTACAGTCGGAATTTCTCACTGAAATAGAACCCAAGCCAAGCCTAGTTACAGTACTAGTAAACAATAGGAACAAAATGGCGTCAGAAATTTGTGGAAATTTACGAGTGAAATACAGTTCAATGTTACGTGTGATGGGGGTTTGCGCCAGGTACTTTAGGATTTGCGGGTCGGTCGGAGTTGGAGACGGTGTCAGGGTGTAAACCTTCCTCGGTTTCTTTAGCCGTAAGCTGGGCTGCCTAGGGCTGAATCGTGCTCTTTACCGACGGTTGGGGGAGGGTTCGATGGGGGAGACCTGGTCGTCTGGAGAAGGCGGGCATGGTGGGGACAGATGAGGCGATGAGTGTTGAACGGGCGATGACTGTGGTGAAATCAGGTCGTCGGGTGAATTGAGCAGGGAGAAGTTCGGGGTTGGTCGGCTCGTCGGAGTTGTTCGGTCGGTCGGAAGGCCTGGGTGGGTCAGTCGGGTGGCCTGCGTCGGACGGGCGGCTAGGGTCGATCGGATGGTCGGGGTCGGTCGGACGGCGGCTCGCGGCTTGAAGTATGTTGCAGGGTTCAGGCGAACATACCTCACGCAGGACTCCATTACCCTGCGAAGAGCCACAGTCCAGTCTGTAAGAAAAATGAAAATAAGAAAACGCATACAAAAGAATGTTTATTCATGAACTAAATAAATGAAATAAATTGGAGGATACATGTATGAGAAAACTTATCCATTTTCGCCAAATGAGATTGACCATTTTATGATGGATCGTTCATAATATGGGGACGCTGAGGTGGGTTCTTCCAGCAGCTTGTTTCTTGTAGACATCTACATGTATCTTCAGTTTGTGGATTTCATGGAGAAAATGTTTTTACATTTAAGCACAATTTGTTTGTTTTGAGCCACATATTCAATTTATCTAGCTCTTCATTCACGATAGTTACTAAACTATTATGATTCCTGTGAGACATAAATGAATTTGTGTCGTCTGCAAAAAGAAGAGTAAATAATTTTTGTGAAACATGTGGTAAATCGTTTATATGAATAAGAACCAGTAAGGGTCCCAAAATAGATCCTAGAGGAACGCCACATGTAAGTAGCTTTGGACGTGACTTGTAGATGCCATTGATAACGTATTGTTTTCTGTTCGAAAGGTTTCATTGAGCCAGCTATGAGTTGTGCTTTGGAAGCCATGCAAGTGTAGTCTATCCAGTAAGATG